AAGGGACAGTCTCAAATAGTATGATATTCCTTTACTTTATTTCTGCATCATCAACTATATGGTCAACACTCCTACTACTCGTGAGGCAACGGCAACGGCGTTGAAAAACGAGCAGTCCAGCCAGTTATATTTAGTCGCAAACCCGCTGCTTTAAATATTTTTCAGAAAGAGTCCAATTCAGATTTCATCTTTTTTCTTTAATGATGTATGCACATGTATCATGTTTTCAATTTCTCAGTCCTTTATGATCCCTAAAATGGGAGTGACTGGCCATTCTGATASTTCCCCATTCTGGTTCTCACTTACAATTTTTCAAATACATTCTTTTCATTCGCCCTTCAAGTGTTTCCTATTACATAGAGCGAATTTCACACAAAGGAACGGATCACGACACGAAGACGGCACAGCACGGTCACTGAGCCTCGCGTCGCGTGGCAGTGACGAATACATCACCATAACGTTACAGTGCATTCATGCAAAACTGTTGACATTGTAGCATGCGTGGCATCTCAGTACTCCCGGCCTTCCTTTTTAATTGGACACCTTCTGCCCTCAACCAGAGAGCCGGCTTGTAGTCGGCGAACAGAGCATTCCTATATTCTATATCCAAACCGGATTACTTACTTAAAAACACTGATAAGAATTTCTGCCCAAATACGTAGATTCGTACCCATTGCTTCTCGGTGTTAAAGCAATACTCGGTGCATCAAGGAAATGACTAGGGAATTTACAAAACGATTTACCTTCCCTTCGATGATTAAGAGCATAGCACTGCAAATTATAAATTACGGGTAGCCGTGGGTCACACGACCAGTTATAATGGTAGCCTGCTAACAGGCGTTCCTGCTGTCTGAGTAGGGCTCGCGTGGGTACGCTGATACCTTAAGTAGATCGTTTTATGTAATGTTTTGTTTAGTGCGTTCTTGTTGTGTCTCTTGAGAATTGTAAATGTCTTAAAGTCTCTTGTTTTTGCATATTCGTTCTCTTTCATCGTTTACCGTGTAGAGCATAGCATATTGTTTTGTAAGTATTATTTCGTTTTTCTTCTTTCCCTTATAGATTTA